GTCATAGACGTTGCTTCCATACTCGGAAGGAAGGAAGCGCTCCACGCCCGCTGCGATCGCGGCATCGATCAACTTGTTTTGGTCGCCCAGTGCCATGCCGCCGACGAGCGACAAGACAGCATCTTGGCCCTGGAAGGCTTCCTTCAAGCTATCGTGGGAATCGTAGTCCGCGCGGATGACTTTGACGCCTGCGGGGAAGGTCGAGCTTGAGCCTTGGCGCGAGAGGACAGTTGTGTTGAATGAGGAATCCTTGAGGAAGGCGTTCAGAATGGAAGGACCAAGGTTGCCGCTCGCCTGTTATTGTTAGTTGTCGTATGCAAGAGAAGTCTGGCAGGTATACATACGCCGATGATGATGACGTTCTTGATAGACATGGTCGATAAGTGTTGATGGTGGAGTCTGAACAGATCCGATGTCTGTATTAGGTTGTGGAGTGTGTAGTGATCTTGATGCTGTGAGTGTCGTGAGTTGTGTCTTTACTTCACCGATGAAGACGCTCTCTTATGTACTCCACGACGAAGACGTGATTATGCATGGCTATGATGCAGGTACAGGGCCCCACATCCCCAAATCCGCGCTGCTTGTAAATCTGCGTCGTACAACCACGTTACCTTAGTAATGAAGGCTGAACCAAAGCCGCACATGGCATGCATTTCAATCATGATGTGGCGCCATTGCTTACGACACTAGTCTTGGTCGACACCTAGGTGCCTGGGGTAGGTGTAAGGTCGGTGTACTTAATCTCTCCGATAACCACTCTCCAGAAGCTTCGCTGCGGAAGTAGTGCATGGTAAGGCTCTATCGCCGAAGGTCAATCTCGTAATTACGCCGAAATTATCATTCCAACAGATCAGGTTCGAGTTGGTAGAAGGCTGATGTTGGGGTTGCTTAGCACATCTCGCGGAAATGCACCGCCACGCCAAGGCGCTAGCCTGATCCAGATCATGACTGTGGAAGTCGCGCGCGCGGTCACCCATTTCCTGAAGCTGTCACTTTACGCTTTCCCACCGTCTTCGTCACATCACCATCCCCAAAAAACACGTATTGATCAATACGTCGCAGAGCCGCTGGTATCGCAGCAAGATGAATCTTTACATTCGGACCTCAACCCAGAGCGAACGCGCGTTCATTCTTCATCGCCAAGACTCATTCTGTTCTCGATAATACCCCATCTCTCAAGCTGCATGAGCAGCTCGAGTGGATCTGCTGCGTTCCAAGCGCTGATTTCCCACTCTGTACGATTCCTCCCGCCCCCTTTGTCATACACCCAAGGTATCTTCTCAATGGTCCACACAAGCTCTCGTTGTGACGCGTTCAATCGACGGATGTACTCCCTCGCTTTCATAACCGCGTCTTTAGTCCCCTTTCGCCGAACCTTCATCACCGACGCTACCACATACATTCCTGGACATCTCGTGTTGAGGCGCAGCTTCGTGTGCATTCGGTCGATATCCGTCAAGATCGCGTGGTACGCATGCTTGTTGAGACCGAGGGCGTCCATTTCAGGTGTATGAGGCGGATAGATGGGATGTCTGAATCCGAAGCGCAGTACTCGGAGTCTGGTTCCTCGCTCCACCGTCTGACGGCATTCCAATCTTCTGTTATGCTCGTAGCTGGTTCTGTTCACGGCACTAGGAAACTGCTCCTTCCACGCCCGATCATCGCTCACCAGCGCGGCAATGATATCTTGCTTCAGTGTAGTATCGGCATACTGCTTCCTCCTATTCACTAGAGGGTTGTCTTCCATCTCAGCCAGATACTTTGCATATGTACTGCGCCGCGTGCTGGCATTGATGCTTGCTCTCATCCAAGCTCGAAAGTAAGGATCGGCACCGTATCGATCGATATTGGCACTCAGAACCTCCCGCTTACGAAGTGGGACCGCGTTGGGACAAAGAGGATGTGGCTTCGAACGATCTCGAATTTGTGCGTGGTGGGGGATGAGGTCATCTGCACACCTGATCGTCTCCGCCGCAGACATTGCTTGACGCCCAAGTGTTGGTCTTGGTCCAGACTCAGCGCATGGGAATACATCGATGAAGGACAGACGCTGACCCATACGCTGACTCGGCTTGGCTGGAGGCGCAGACATCAGTGCCGCTTGCAAGGTTTGGTCGCGGTCGACATGGAGAATCTGGATATGTGACTCTGAGACACGAGAGGGCGCGAAAAGCGAAAACGATTGCACGCAAACCATCACCGAAACGCCCCTGGCTTGAAGATTCCATGTTACCTCTTCAAGTAGCTGATTGAGCGCGATAGCCTCATGCTGGTTCTTCTTCAACTGTTCGGTTGTGTCCCAAAACCTGCCGCATTTGCCTGGCCCGTGCTTCTTTCCGGAAGCCTTGCGTTTACTGGCTTCAGCAGGGGCTGCCGCAACCGGTCCTGCACATTTCTTTCTCCTTACTCCCGTCCAGATCTTGTTCAAGAAGTCCCTCAGCGCAGTTGTCAAGCGACAATAATCTTCATACGTGAGGCCATGGTCTGCTAGCGCAGTTGTGTACTCTGTAGGTTCGCAGAGGCGAAAGGATGTCACGAAATGCGCTTCGGATCGAGTACATTGTTGACGGTCGGAGACCCCAGGGAACAATATCCCGATGTCGTCAACGAAGCGTTTCTCCGGCTGTTGAGGGGGTAGGCGGAAGTCGCTTGCCTGCACGACGGATTTGCGAATATTCTCCAATGTCGAGTGCCTCATACTAATCGTCGATTTCAAAAGGCTTCTTGCTCTAGCTCCAATACGCTCGCCAAGGATGCGTTGATCGCCTGAGACGCAGGCATCCGGCCGTGTGGCTGACGAGATTAGGCTGCTCTTTGGGTACGAAGATTCCGACTGGAGTGGCGGATCTGCGATCGTACTCTCCGAGCACTGTTTCCCAGACGACTGCGCATAAAGGGCGCGGTGATACACTAGCGGGCTCGCCTCTTTGACAACGCGAGAGTCGCTATCGGATATGTTATTTGTTGCGACATCCAGATCTGGCTTCGTGGTTCGAAAAGGTATGGGATCAGTGTGCCTGCGAGATAGCACAGGCCTGGCATGCTCGTCCTCTCCTTCTCTTTCCGCACGTTCCAGGTCTTCCCTCTCACTCCCCAAGGTCGTTATACAATCCACCGACAACCGCTGAGCCATGTTGAAGATCTGGACGTCATGGGTCTCTTTCTCCCGTGTCTTTCCGATTGTCATACAGTACTGACGGTGTCTTTACTCGTCCTGGGCGGATAAACTGGATTCGCAGTTCTCTTGAGGTGTTTGGAACTTGTTGAGGGCGCTGGTAAACATGATCGTGGGCAACAACCCACTAGATATGGACAGAAGCGACTGCCGGCTGCTAAATTTACAATTGTGGCAGCTCGGCAATGTTTCTCTTCCTGCAGAGCGATTGACTCTGGACCAATCTGCACTCACAAATGTCGGCCGAAACTGAGGGCAGGGGCGTATGCGAAGACAAAGGGCTGCGGCAAGGGGCTGCCCTTTGCGCATGTCTTGGACCACTACTTCAACAAGTCTCGACGCACGATGACATTCGAACACCACAAGCATTAAGTCTTCACCCAAAACGGTCACGTCCAAGGATCTACTGATTACACGGTCCATGGTGAGTTGCTCCGCGGATCTAACATGCGCTACGCTTTCCCATATAGGTGAATTTTCAAGCGCAAAATACGTGGCATTTCAACTTGGGCTTTCGTCACCGCTGCGATCGATTCAAACTCTGGAGTCCAAGCTCAATGCGATTGTTGTTGGCCCCAAAGGTGAGGGCATCTGGCGGTGGCGCAAAGGATCTGGCATTTCATGCGCCTGAAAACGCCGCAATCTCATGGGCCAGGATTTGCACGCATCTTCGCAGGGTCTCTTCCTCTATACGATTTAGCCTTCTCAGCCGATATCTGATGAGAAGTAGAACATCGGAGTCATACTGTCGGCGCATTGTCATACACTGGTATGCGTCATACAAGCAATCGTAATGTGTTATAGTATGACAACCCCTTCCCGACAAGCTCTCTCTATCCCGCCACAAGAGCACCTTTCAGTCGTAATCTTGTGCATACCCAAGTACTCACCTGTCTTTTGGACGACTTCAATAGCTGATAGAACAGGCCAACATGCCTTCATATCCGTCGCGCCATTCAGGTCCAACACTACAGAAATTCCAACGACGAGTGCAGCACGATATGACAGTGCTGTTCAAGTTAGTATGTACATGGGAGGCTTTGAGTCTCAAAGCTACTGACTGCGTAGTATCTTGCATTCACTGACGCAGTGTGACTTCTTCGATATGACAGACAAAAGACTCACAGGGTTCGACACTCGGATCATTCAGCGTTTCTTATAAATTCTACATTCCAGTCGGTCACTTGAACTACATTCTCATAGAGTCGCACGAATACACCGACATAATCTCTCGGCTATAGACCATGAGCGACCAGGAATTCAAGACAAATCTAACTAGCCACTTTTACAACGAGTTACGTTACGCAGAATGTTCTCCAAAAAAAGCTTCGATATATGCAGATCACGCCATGAAGATCTATAGCTATTATTGGGGTCGTGGAGACACTCACGAAACGGCCTTAGGTCATGCCCAACACAGTATCGAAAAACATTTCCATCCAGCCGAAGAGTTGGACCTTCCGGGAGGTAGTCTTTACTCAGAAGAAGTGGCGAAACAGCAGAGAACCCAAGAAGCCTTGGTAGATGTCCGCATTCCTACTCGTGGCACATCCTCACACCCTTCGACCTTCCACTATGCCGCTGCCACTGCTGATGAAGACATTCAAGGTTTGTAACTGCATAAGACGAATCCTGTTCAGCTTCACTAATTTGAGTAAAGATCATGTCAGATGTTCAGCATCCTCGAAAGCAGTTCCCACTAGCGCTTCAAAGCACCGATCCAACGATAGGACTAATCAGGAACACTCAAGTCAAAAGCCTTCCCAAGTTAGACAAAAGGTCATTTATCACGGTGGTGAGAGTCTGCACGCAGACGCTCGACAGAATGTCGGTGCGCGCACACCGATCCATGATCGATCGACACACCAGGTCCATGATCCACCACTGGCGCACCCGCTACATACCGGGGGATCAAGTCGGCATACACAGTCTCGCAAAAGTCGCGGTAAAGACGTCTCAGTACGCGACCGATCCCCAGTACGAGGAGCCGCCAAATACCAATCCAGCGCCTTACATAATACGAGCAAAGAGCAGGACGCGTACTACGTTTCAAAAAACTCCGACATACGAATCGATTACAAGAAACCTCCACCCGTTGGCTCAAGTCGCAGACCACGTAAACAGTCACAAACTGAAGGAACTCATCAAGCGGATTCTCCTTTTGCGTCCGCTGGTGATCATAAGCCAAGCGACCGTTCTCATACTCCAACAAAGTCTACAAAGAACAGTGGTGGGCCAAAGGTCAGCGAGACTGTGTCGGAGCAATCCTCAGACGAGGAATTCGCTAGAGCCCCATCTCCAGGACCTCAGCAGTCGAGACCGCCGAGCATATCGAGCGAATCCCCAGACGAAGGTATGGCCCCCGGTCAAAAGCCGCCGGAAGATCTCTACGATGTTCTAGGCGTCACACGGTCGGATGATACAGCGACTATCAAGAGGGCCTATCACAACATGATCATGATATGTCATCCAGACAAATGGTCCTCTTTGCCGCAGGGTGATAAGGTCAAAGAGAAGAACAAAAGAAAGGCAGCGTACCTTAATGCTACAAAGGATGTACTGCTTGATGCAGATAAGAGGGCCTTTTATGATGAGACCGGGCTTATGTCCTGATTTTGCTTGAATCAGTGTAGGAGCTCTTTTGGGGGCAAGGCAGCAGCACTAGATAGAGCTATGAAATTTAGTTCAATTGGCAAGCGTTGTTCTGAAAATGTGTCCCAAAAATGAATAACAGCGTGTTTGATGCGCTACTGCAATTTCGCTCATGGGTCAACGTCGGTTGCCAGCCTCACACCGGAGCGCTTCACCAAATTGCCGACCACCTGTAGACATGCGATTCGCACAGTCACGACATACGCTTTTTTTTTCCGCATCGACAGGCAGCTCGAAAGGGTCTCTGTCTCGGTTCATGTAGTCTCAGCGTTTGGTCCTTTCCTCATTATCTGATGACAAGCACATTACCAGAGTGATACGATTCGTCTACAGGCATACACCAGTATGCGTCCAACGAAGACGCAACATAAACAAATTCTTGACGCAGTTGCTCTTACTCTCTCACAGATGCGTCAACGACCATGAGTCGTCCAAGTTGAGCCAGTCACTCACTGCGGTGGACTCATTTGGACGTGATATAAAATATGTTGGACCTTGAGAAGCTCCACTGGACATCTCCACACGCACCACTATATTCCCGAACGAGGCGCCATGAACCGTGAAGCATATGAGGCCCATCTACGAGCAAGGGAAGAATACCGTAATCCGGGGTCCACGCATGCGGAGGCACCGAGACGGCGCCAACCTGTTGAGCCTCGAACAGGGTCATCGAGAAGGTCTCTTGTTGACGATGCGCTGCTAGATGATCCAGAACGCGACCGAGTACGTGAGCAGCTCAAAAGACATGATCGTTTGCGAAACAAAACACACGAACGAACCACATCCGAAGAACGGTACCCTGAGACACTCCGTAGGACTCTTTCGGATGAGGAAGATGTCGAGAGATACCTTCGCACACAACGAGAGAGCATTGTGTCAAAGCGGAAATCGATACCCAAACAAGAAAGCCGAGTCTTGACTTCAAGCAAAGCTACTACTGATGAAGAGACGATGAAATGTCATGGGAAAGCTCGAGCTCCTTTCTCAACAGATCGGCATGTTGTTGACCGCGAGCGTGACCGTAGTAAGCTGTCTGTGCCTTTAGCTCTTACACATATCGCTGACTACGTTGAAGATAGTAACAAAGATTTTGATTCAAGACAAAGCTACGCTCGTCCCACTTCCATAGACTTATACAGAAAAGAAGAGGAAAGGAAGAGAGAAGAGATCAAGGAAAACCATAGGAGGTTATGCAAGCTCCGCAAAGAGGCTGACGCAGCTGCGCTCGCCTCAGTACAAACACCAAACCCACAAGCAACTGTCTCAAACGATAAAAATAGTTCGCGGCGTCCTACACATTCCACCAGAGCTCACAAACCAAGCGTCTCAGCCCACACTCGTACCCAACCCTCACCGGCCAGATCTACCTCACACACGCCAAGTGCCCGAACCGATGAGCCAAAGCACACCAAGAGAGAGCGCAAAACTCCAGACCAACGCCCAATCTTGGTTCAGCATCCCTGGCTTTCCAACTACCTTTCCGAAAACAAGATCACTCCGAGTGTACCTCGACCATCATCGCATAGTGGAAGCAAAAGCCGTCATGAACGCCCGTACGCTAGCGTGGCCGACGAGAAGGACTCTTTGCTGTTGGAAGTTGGTCCTGAAACCGAACCACTGTCTTTAAAGAGAGAAGATGCGACGTAGGAGTGCAACTTCTGGATCTAGTTGAAGAGAGATATCATTCTGTCCGTTGGGGGCTACGTCGCGATGTTCGGCTGCTTCGGTAGCAGTCCAGTATCGATGGACTTCTACCGGTTTCTCTGCCCATGCTGGCGGCTCTTGTTCAAGGTAGCTTAGGGTACCTCGTTAATGTCAGTCATCGGCAGTACGATCTACAATGCGGAAGTCTTCTACTTGCCTGACAGTATTGGTGTTTGAAGTTGGCGATCCTACAATCTCTTCCTCGCTCGTTCCTCTTTGTGCTGACCAGTCGTTGCGTAATCTACGTACCCGAATAGCCCACTCCATACCAGCTCCGTCGCCTTCCAAGTCAGGATACAGCTGGTACAGTCCAGCGTGACCCAATTCTGCCAAAGATGCTATGCTTGTATTCAGTGATTGCAACGTTTAATATAGGGCGATGATTGTGAAAGAGCGTCTGTCGTACTTGCGCGTCTCAAAGCAAGTCGCAATCTTTTCACCATTCACTTCATTCACTGATGCCTCCATTGCCCAATTCGGAACAAGAAGTCACCCACAATCTCTGCAGTTCAGGCGGCGCCCCACATAAAGTACTTCCCTTCGTCAACGCTGCTACCTAGGTACCTTTATCTTTGACGCCCTCACTTTCCCATAGCAGCAGCTCCCTCACTTACGGCAAACACCCAACCTCACTCAACCTTACCCAACAGCCGAAATGGAGTAACTATACCCTGCAGCCCGAAGAGCTACTTACTGTCGCTGACCAATCTAGTCCGAAAGACGCCATCATCCAGCTAATTGTCCCGAATTGCGCTGGGGATACTGAACGTCTCCAAGTTCACCGCGGTGTTCTTTGCAAGAGCTCAGAGTTCTTTCGAAGAGCTATGAAGCCAGAGTGGACCGATCAAAAAGATGACCCAAAGACCCTCAATCTTCCCGAGGACTCGGCGACCATCGTCAGCGACTATATTAAATGGCTTTACCAGGGAGAAATTCCGATTCGCCTACACATAGCAGACGGAGTCACGCGTGACCAGAGGTGTGAAGAGGCGGAGGAGTTCTTCGTTCAGATTGCCCGAGCATATGTATTTGGCGAGAGGATCATTGATGTCAAGTACAAAAACGCGTTGTTCAAGGCTATATTCACAGCCCAAGACAAGTTCAGCGTGTATATGGGAGCAGCGAGCATCAAAATTATCTACAATGGCACGCCTCCCGGATCCCCACTACGACGCTTGATTGCTGCAGATATTGCGCATCATGCGTATGATGACTCGCAAATAGGAGATGGCTGGATGCAAGACATGGACACATATTCAAGAGAAACTCTGTTAGAAGCACTAAGAGCCACGGTGAAGGCGCGGGACAAGAAGGCCAGCACCTATCCTAGCGTCGATTCATACCTTGAGGAGGAGTAGCTATGTTTCTCGTTCATCTATGGTTGAGAACACTAGGTTGGCAATAGCGTAGACCGCGATTTGTAAATTTCTTCTAAGACAGCGAACCATTGCTATTGTCAGTCAACAATTTCACACAATATGAAACCTCTTTCATAAATTCCTACACTTCACTAGGCAACACCCCCCACCTATCATAAAACTTCCTCTTAACCGCATCACTCAACACGTCGTTCGCCTGATTAATCTCCGCCATCTTCTCAGTAGCTTTCTTCTTATCTTGCGCACGACAGCGATCAGGATGCCACTTCAAACTCATAGAACGGTGTGCTTTCTTGATATCAGCAGCTGTGGCGCTTCGCCCAAGACCAAGTACAATGTAAAGATCCGTTGCGGGTTTGATGCCTTGCGGAGGTGGCGTGACTGGGCGTTGAGATGATGGTGGTGTTGGTGGCACATGAGAGGTTCTAGGTGGGGCCCAGGGGCGGAAAGAGTAAGAAGAGTTGGTAGGATACGAATCAGACGACGAGTAGAATGTGTAGCTGGGTGGTGATGAGGAGTACGAGGAATGACCTGGCTCTGCAGTCCAACGCCGAGAGCCTGAATGTGGCCTGCGGTCTCTATTAATGGAGGAAGACCAGCTGAATGCATGGTTACGAGGGACATAAGAGGATGATCGCTGCGGGCCAGAATCTCTAGCAGTATATCTATCGGGGTTTTCTCGCAATTGCTAAGCATTGCTCCTCTTGTGTCTTACCTGTAGCTATTATTACCTATATAATTATATATTCTATAATATATTTTATTTACTCTAGCATAAAGTTTTATACTTATTTTTACTATCTAAGATAGCTTAAATACTAACTTATATCTTAACCTATATATTATAAAAAGTAAGAAGTATATTAGTATACCTTTACTATTTTATATTACTACTAATATTACTTTAAGTAAGAAAAGTAGTTTTTACTTAAGAGAGCTAGTAACTTAGCTAACTTAGATAAATAAGTAGTATATCTACTATAGCTATCTTAGCGTAAAGAAAGTATTTACTTACTTAGTATAGACTTATATATATAGCTATTAGTATATACTTATTATAAGTTATATTATATTATATACTAAGTAGGCGCTTAAGATAGAACTTATATAACTTAATACTTTATTAAGTATATAAGTTTATATTTATATTTATAAGTATTTATTAATAATACTTAGCTTATATAGCTACTTAGTAGTAAGTTACTTTTACTATATTAGTAAGTAAAAGCTAGTAGTATTTAATATTAATAAAGATATATAGTTAGATTAGAATTTTAAAGGTAATAAAAGTAGAAAAAAGTACTATAGTATATATATTATATAAGTAATAATAACACTAAAGTAGTTACTTTATATACTTTACCTTTAACTTATATTACTATATATATAAAGTTATACTTTAGAACTATTACTTTTATTTTATAGTATACTTAATAACTTATTATAATAAGTAACTTATAACTTCTAAAATTTATATATACTTATATAATTAGGTCCTCTTAAAAAGAGAAGTATTGTTAATATAAGAGCTTAAGCATTGCTCTGATAGTCGTAGGCAGAAGGGATGTAATCTGGACGGCGATAGCTCGGTGTACTCCGATCCTCTGCGTGTTGCCATTGTGGTTCCCGGTCGTTACCCTGATAGCCGTAATGGGAGGGGATGTAATGAGGAGCGCGATATTCAGGTACACTTGGTATGCTCCAATCTTCTTCAGCTTGCGTTCGCATCTCTGCAAATATGCTGTCATTGTCGTCTAAAAGAGTCCACATCATACCGGAGAACCCACTAAAAGCATCACCACCGCCGTCTCTAGCTCTCCGTGAGCTATGCATCGGCGGGTTGTTATCGTACGAGAGTGGAGACGATGAATAGTCATGGTGCGCTATACTAGCTTGATATATTTCTTCCAGGTACCATTTCGAGGTGAATGAATCAGCGTTGAGGACACGTTTGATGTAATTGAGGCTGCGCTCGGAGGCTTCGTCGATGGTGTAGCCCCTGTTCCGGCAGTGGGCGTAATAGCTTTCCCGAAGCTCTTCTTCTTCTACGTGTGTTTCCATTGGGAGGTCTATGCAGTCTTTGGGTAAAGGGTTGACAGTGGTACTACAGCCGTCAGGGGGAACGGTTCCAGTCAATGGAAAAACCGCGGAGGACTCTGAGGTCCGGGGTGGCTTGGCTTCTTAAGAAGTGAATGATGCATAGTGGGGTGTAGCACTGTTAAACAATAGCACTTCGGCAAAGGCCCCAAATACTCATTGTGATTTCACTGCACTTTTCTTCGTATCTAAATGAGTGATGTAGGCCAGCGAATGACTGCCAGCCACTTTTTGCATGATCCTAGAGTGAGTAGTTGCACTGACCCAACACATGTCAGAAGCTGACCCGACAGACAAAGGTTTAGGGGAAAGGAGATGAGTACCATTGTACTTCAATGAAGTTCGTCGCCTTCCAAACCCTGAAAGTAAGTCACCTATTGCCTGATAGCTTGTTCCTTGCCCTGGAGACGTCTCATGGTTTTATCCTCAATATGCAGTCATAACTTATACGATACGTATCGATCGTCTCTTGCAATCGCTGCTTTGACTTTTCTATGTCAACATTCCATTCGACTGCCATTCGCTCGATAGCGAGGGCGAGCTGCATAGCTGACTAACGGCAGCTCAGTAACGTGTCACAAGGTTCCCCGCACGACAACACTTCACAGCATCGCGCTGATGAACACCACCGCGCACAGTGATGGAGAAATTTGACTGGAGCCGCCCGGATCTAAATCGGACACACTTCCATTCACTCGCGAACCTTCTTTCACTTCGCAATGGCGGCCAAGTCGAGCCTACTGTGAAATTCGACACCGAGCCTGAGCTAGATTTGGAGCTTAATGACGAAGAAGATGAGGATTCTCGTAGCGTCAACACTGCTCTGGCAAACCAGATATCTGACTCAGGTCATGGTAAACTCAAAAGGCGGTTTCTCGATGCTGTGGCTGGGTTCGCCGCGAACAAAAAGGGCGGCACAGCAGTTGCTTGCTCGGCTATGAAAGAGGCTGAGAACGACGTCGTCATCTGGCTGGCTCGCAACGACGGCTTTTCCAATGGCGATCGTCCTGTTTTCGAGAGATTGGGAGAGATACTGAGTTCTCTGTCCTATAACGGCGGTCAGTTCCGTAACACTGCCATATGCGCTCGTGCGCTAACTTAGGCTCGTGCTCGTAGTCCAGGACTCCAAGGATCTGCTATGGGAACACATGGTTTCGTACCACAGTAGCCGGATCAAACAAGACTATATCTTCAAGCTGAGGCGAAGCTTCGAAGCTTACGACGCTGAACAAACGCGACACATTGCCTACACGACCGCAGATCGGTCAGTCGTTCATACAGCGCTGTCCGCCTTGCGTGACATTCTCCTCAATGATCTGCCGAGTGACATAAGTACTTTTGATAAGCACACAAAGCTGATTGTGGCGTCATACGACCTGCGCCGGGACGCTGCTGTTGAAGAGGCACTGAATAGCCGCGCGAGCTCGACTCTGGAATCGAGGAAGCTATGGAGCAGCATCTGCCTTTTCTCCCGTGTTCGCGTGGCGTATCGCACCTTCATCGAAATAGCCCAGACCCTGCCAAGTTTTGGGCGCATCAAATTCGTCCTCGTTCCCCGTCCTGCTGTATCTTTAAAACCACCTCAACGACCGGCGACTTTAAAGCAAACATTGGGAATGCTCCAGTTGGACTTGAATTTCAACACAACGAAGGAACTCCTGGGTAATGATTGGAACGTCAGTAAGACTGAAGAGAGGTTCAAGAGTCTGCAAAAGCAGAATCTCAACGTGCACGCCGAGGTGCAGATGCTGATAGCTTTGGCTGCGAACGAATCGGTGAAGTCGACTCTGTTCCCATATTTTGGGTGCAGCAAACTGAGCTGCTTCATGTGTAGTCGTTTCATACAGGCATATGGGCGATTTACTACGCGAGGGTGTCATGGCCATCTCTTCAAACCGTGGACCATACCAAATACAGATGGGCTATTGCCAGGACAGCCTGATCGAATAGCAAAAGCTCTCGTGTCGGTCCAAAATGAGCTCAAGAAAAAGCTGATGGAGTCAATCAAGACTCATATTCCACACGAACGAACTTCGGTAGTTGGCGGGAGTAGTATCGTGAGTGAGTGGCCGGAGAAGACTTCATCGAGAAGATCTCAGATCGACCAGATGAGAGCGAAAGGCGAACACGACAGAGTTTTAGAAAGCTTTCGAAGGTCAGTGATGCTACGAATTCTTGGTGTCGCAGATTCCAGCTAGTATCAGACCTTCGACTAACCGTCACAGACGAGACGAAGACCCAACCAGACCAGCCCAGTATAGATACTCACCCTCTGACGAAGAGAATCTGGCACGAGAGTGTGACGTATGCTTGAAGCGAACGACTCGAAGATGCGGTTTCTGCAACAAGGACTCCTTTTGCAGCGAACGTTGTGAGGATAAGATGCCTTCGAGGCATGTGTTCAATTGCTCAAAACGCCCGCTCACGACAGCTGATTTCTTATGGAGATCATTAGTAGAAGACCTCATACCAGAGGAAGAAGATGTTTTGGAGGATTTTGGATTCAATAGTGTGGAGTTTGGTCAAGGAAGATCATACCTTTTTGGTGTATATGCCGGTCTCTATCTGTCCGGTAGATTCTCAGCGGAAGATTTCCATAACTGGCGTATCGAAGGTATCCTGACCGAAAAGATCAAGGAGTTCTTCTATAGCCTTCCTGAAGATTCCCGTGGAGGCTACTTTCCTTGGTTCTTGGAAAACCTCCCTGTCCTGGAGACACCCACGACCAAACAACAGGCGACGCAAAACCTCGTCGCAAGCATGTTTGCTAAAGCTAGACCGTACTTAGATAACGAAGATCGCAACAAAGCGCTTGATGAGTTGATGCCTGAAGCCAAGCGGGATAGCTTCACCTTGCTGGCTCAACTGTCTCACCAGATGTCGCCGAATCCGATCGAACAAAACTGGTACTCTTTTGGGTTCGTAACCTGTCGTGGAAAGAGTGAGGAGAACACACTCGTGCAAGTCTACCAGCTCCTCCTTCTTGAAGATGATGGGAGTTACTTTTACAAGTTCTACAACAGCCGAAGGGACCACAACTCACCTGTCGGGTTGACGCAGTTTTGGAAAGCGTACGAAGCGGGAACACTCATACAGCTTATGGATTCGAAAGGCCTCAAGAACCTTCGATCCAGATTGCCACTCTTGGAGGTCTTCCTGTCCGGTTCATGCTCCTCCGTATGGGATTTGAAATGGTTCCTTGACATCGAAGACCCAGTGAAGTACCCGCCCATTCCTTCGGTGAGCCTCGACTATGGCTTCGTCAACTGCAACACGTTAGAGGAGACCTACACGTTGATTGAAATTTACAAAAGGGTTTTGCAGACCGCGCATCTACTAGACCTTCAACATGCGTGTATAACAGGAACTTTGTGGCAGTTCGCAAGCAGTCGCATCCGGATGGAGGAGAAATGGAGGCCGTTGATGAAGAAAGTCTATTCATTGGAGACACCGACAGTGTCAGAGACAGGCGAGGATATGACACCAAAAGCAGAATCAGAGGGACATGGAGAACCCGTCGTCGTTTCGTCGTCGCTACTGTCGAGACTGTGGGGCTCGCTTTCGGTCGTCTGATCCAATCCCATATGCCGTAGTGCCTGTTACGAACTCTGTGCTTTAGTAACCATGCAGTGCAATGTACAGTGTCCAATTGTTGCCAGACCTTAGACTAGGCGTAATGTTACATTGCTTGGAAAGAGAGCCTTAGCCTGGTTGCGTGTAGAAGCCTTATCCCATAGTGATGCATACATATGTTGTACATGCCCCAATTCCTCCTCACATAGGGACAGGCGTCAGATGGCCATCCTTGTCATACTTCGCCTTGAAGAACGTGTAGCTCAGTGTAACGGTCTCAATACCCTTCATGTTAATATCCTTTGTGAATTCGGGATCGATGTAGAAGAAGACGGGCATGTCCACCGTTTCCCCAGCATTTAGTCTCTGCTCTTCGAAGCAAAAACATTGGATCTTGCTGAAGTATGGGGCGACCTGTCCTGGTGTGACAGAATATGTAGCTACGCCAATGATATCTTCTGACGATTTGTTGGTCGCGGTGTAGAAAGCGAGAGCGGTCTCGCCGGGGAGGACTCGGACTTCGCGCTGTTGAGGAACGAACTTCCACGGTAGGACGTCGGATACGGAGCCGTTGAATGTGATTCGGATGCGTGGGTGATGTTCGACGGGCTTTAGGCGCTCGGAGGGATCGACGGAAGTATCACCGCCGTGGGCCGCTGACTTTATGGGCTGGCCTCCCCAACCGGTCTCCTGGCAGATCTGAACAAGATGTTAGATTTGCTTTCTGTCGACAAGGTGATGATGCATAGCCATACCATCTTATAAAACGGCACTGAGCCATAACTGAGCGCTGTGAAGCCTATTATCACACTGAAGACATAGTTCCTACACTGTGGTCAGCAATTGCGCTTTCTGCCCCCACACTCTTGCACATACATGACTGTGCGGTTCTTCATCTTATATTGCGCATGCATCTGGTCCATTCTTGGCACGGTGCCATGCTGCCGCGCGGGATTTGTGCTGTTCATCCATCTTCGTGCGGTCAAGGCGGGATTTCGGGCGCGCGGTATCCTAGTGAGCGAGCGAGAGCATGACAGGCAGGTCCAGGATCCCAGCGACCGTGAGGGAAGTTGTCGTAATGGCAATGCGGCAGACATATCGTATTGTTGTGTTGTAAGAGTCAACGAGCCAATGGAGGAAACCTCGGCGGAGTGATGAGCAATGGAAGTTCGCCGCGGGATTTAGCCCGATTGGGAACGCGTCTTGGAGCGCAAAAGTCGCGAGTGATTTGCGGACGTCATCTTCGATACTACCAGCACAACCATTCTCACGACACACATTTGTCTTCTCCTTCCAAAATTCGAAGTTGCGATCCCTGCCGACAAACAGCACAATGTCAGAAGTCCTCTGCGGCGTCTGCAACGCAGAGCCCAAGAAATACAAGTGCCCGACTTGCGCGCTTCCATAGTTCGTTGCCATTTGTGATCTCTTAAATCTACAATACTGATCGCATACAGCTGTTCATTATCATGCTTCAAATCGCACAAACCAACACATCCCGACACCACGTCAGACGCGCCAAAGCCAGCAGAGCCAGCCCTCCCACAACCACCTCCTCCCGCCCCAGTACCGCGCTACCTAAAGGCGCGCATCGACTTCTCCGTATTAGCAACAAACCCGAAATTCCAAGAGCTACTCAAAACACACCCAACGCTACTTCCGTCACTCCAACGCGTATACGCCAAGACCATCAAACCAGATCCCGAAGCTGAGAGTCGGCGGCGCATGCTCGAACGAAACGCCTCACGGGGAAGAGGCATGAGGGGAAGGGGCCGAGGAGCATGGAGGGGTGGACGCGGAGGTTTCAATGGAGGGCAGGAAAAGAAGGAAGAGTACTGGACCCAGAAGAAGGGAGACAAGGACGCGATGGAGGAGTTGAAGGGTATAAGAGAAGGAGAGGGGAAGGAGGGAGAGAAAGACGCCATGGCCGAGTTCGTTGGGTTGGTCGAAGAGCTCTTTGGGCAGCATGAGAAGGATGCGATGGAAGAAGTTTGATTGGTAGCCTACAACACCATCATTTCACGATGAGATTACGGACGAATCGCGATACCACAGCGACGAAAGCAAATACCTGCTAGAGAACGACAGAAGCCCAGATACCGAGCGTACTAGGAAACCAGGCCTATGGTCCAAGGCCTGAAGTACCCATGATACCGTCTTTGGGAACTATGTCTGGAGTATCGATACGAGCGCCAGGCTGATGAGAAAGTATCATTGTGTGAGGAATCACCGGCGCCGACAGATACTAATAGCCTATCGCTACTATAAGCTAGTTAGCACGTATACTTGATATCCAACTCCACCCTCGGCACACCCTCAAAATCCTCCGGAACCACATACGAAATGTTATAAAACAGGTGGTTCCTCAGCGCCGTTCCATACGTCACATTCTGCTTCACCAAGCCCTCCGCCTCAACCGCAATGTCCACACACGGCAAATCCTCGAACCCCGTTATGCGTCGCCCAGTACCCAGCGTCCAACTCGGCGGCACATTCGACAGCGCAAACGTAAAGATATCGCTTCCTTCTTGCGTTCGGTTCGGGTAGCTAAGGGAGAGATGATTCGGCGAGGCGACAGCGTGGATCGACGACGCAGACGGGTAAAGGGCGAAGAAGGTGTTAAGAGGATAAGGCTTATGCTCCCTATCACCCGCCCAATGCACAATAGCAGGAACGAACTGATCCCCTCTGTTCACATCCTCATCCACCTGCTGTCCGCCAATCATCAACTCTTTGCTCACCCAACTGGACGCGATTCTCGGTTCACCTCCCTCGAGCTCATCCCAGACCGTTCGGTTCAGCCACTTTGGCTCTCCAATGAAGTCCCTCGTCGTAAACGCCTCTTCCACATGCGCTGGCAAAAGCTCCTCCACACCCCCCAGGACAAGCGCCATAGCCGCTCCTTGAGCGACATCAAACAGTAAATCTCCCTCCATCTTTTTCGGCTGGCTCGTCCGCTCCCTCCCCCAAAGTCCCCACAGTACCAAAGACAAAACAGAGGAATGCTGCGTGATATCCCTCGTATACGCCCTATCATACGGCCCTACCACATTCCCCAAATACCCATTATAATGATCCGCCAGATCACCCATCATCCGCGGCAGGATATACTTCGCAGCTTTCGTCATGCTGGAGTTACCAACACCGTATTTAAACTGTGCACCCATGGCCCAGACATCGATACCGTAGTACGTAGGCGCGTTATACTCGCTAACCGTCTCTGCGCTTTCTCGTTGAAACAACTGTAATATCTTCTTTCCCTGATCTTCCGCGAAAGATGTGAAGGTTGAGTTGGATCGAAGGGTGCCGATGTATTCGCAGAGGAGAGCGCGCATCATAGCTGGGTTTGTGTAGCCGATTGTTAGGTTGTCGTCGATTGTGGGGTAGGTGCCGTTGCGGCGCATACTTCCCACGGCGGCGACTTCGAGCGAGTCTTCGATGGAGGTTATGAGGGAGGGGGCGAGGAGGGAGGAGAACTCGGAGAGGATTTGGATTAGTTGTGTGCCAATGAAGTCGCGCCAGTTGGGGTCGTAGGTCGTCTTTGGGGGGTGTTTTGTCAGCTTGGGGGTTGAGGCTTGTGATAGTAGATGCTGGTCAACGTACGTATATCTTCGGTACATATAACCCTGAATCAGGCGTTGGATCTGGTTCATCGGGGGATAACTTGTATGTTCCGTACCATGGAGCGTCAAAATCTTCTGTCATCTGACATGCCAGTCTGTTCTCATCGTCAGTCTACAGCCTCTTTTCTTTCGGCTTTCCTATGTTCAAATAATACGTACATATTCCTAATAGAAGCTTCTGCATGCTTCACATCGTCTCCGTGGTTTCTGTGCAATAATCCGGCTACGTACCACGCTGTGAAGCGAACTGACCATGGTCCTTTGTCGGAGTACTGGATGAAGTTGTAGGATGCATCGTAGCGATTGTCTTGGATGTGCATGGACCAGTCGAAAAGATCTTGGGCATCTGATTGGGACTGTTAGTGAGAAGACATAGACGTTAATTAGAAAGCTTGATTGACGTACTTGAAGAAAGTACTGTGCTGCTACGTTTCGTTACTGCAGCACTTACACGCGTGGCAAGATACGCTACGACGAAGCTGAATGCCCTCATCTTAGACTATAGACGAACCCAATGCATTCAATAGCTTCATTGTCCTCATCACATTGTCGACTTAAATACCTTCCCAGATTCCTGCACGCCTGAGCCGGATAATTGCACCCGCAATCAAAAGCCTCCGCATCGTGAGCGGCGATCTACCCCAGACTTCAAGTATTCGGCGCAGTGCTCGCCGAACGGTAGCCTCGTGTGTTCTAGTGAAGCTTGGAGTGCTTGGTAGGATCAGGTAGTTGCATGTGTAGTGTCACTTCTCGTTGCCGCTAATGACGCACCGGGAAATTCTCCCGGATATATTCCTCTGGGCGTCAATACTTCCGGTGCTACTAGAAATGAAGTCTTGGAACTGGTATTTGACTCTTGGAAAAGGTATATTGAGGCAGAACAACGCGTATCGCGGATGGGAATGTGGTATCGTAGAATCAACAGTAGGTTACGTTGTGAAATATTCCATCTCTTTCCTCAATCTTACTTTTCTTACGAACAAGAACTTATACCGTCTCGATATACCTTCTGACTTCCCAATCAGTCACGGCTTCATCCCACAGCCTAATCTCATGTTGCCTGGTGCCGCCAAAGTGGTCCACAAACTGATCGCCAAATACCTCTCTCGCGACACTTTCTTTCCTCATAAACCGCTCTGTGGCCTCCTTCAGGCTCTTGGCTAGGCGCTCGCCCTTATCCGCCTCTCCGCCAACATCTTCGCCCTTGCCTAGAGGCGGTATGCTAATCTCCATCTTCTTCTCGATACCTCGCCAGCCAAGAGCTAGAATGGCAGCAAGGACGAAGTGTGGGTTTGTGTCTGCGCCTGGCACACGCACTTCGAAGCGTGTTGCCTTACCAGAAGAGGTGGGAGGAGAAATAAGACGGATGGACGCGGCGCGATGTTCAAGACCCCATGATACAGTAACAGGTGCCCAGAAATTCTCTACTAGCCGTTTGTAGCTGTTGACATTGGGTGCGAGAATAGGCATGATGTCGGGGAGACCGTCGATCAAACCCGCGAGGAAATGCCGACCAAGGTCCGAAAGGTACGCGATGTCTGAGTATGGCGCATTCTTGTCCTCTTCGCCTCGGTAGAAGAGGTTCTTGTTTTCTTTGTCCACGATTGAGACGTGCATGTGGCCGCTGTTTCCTGGGAGACCCTCGCGCGGCTTTGCCATGAAGCACGGTGTTATGCCGTACTTGGATCCGAGTGACTTGACGACAAGTTTGAAGAGCGACGCTTTGTCAGCCATTTGCTGGATCTCGCCGAATTCGAGAGCCTATGCTGTGTCAGTCTGCTTTGCCCGAGCCCCCGAGTTGATACACCCACCGCTTCAAAGACACCCGGGCCGGACTCTGTATGCCATCCTTCGATTCCGCAGCCAAACTGGGCGCATGTGTTGAAGATGCCGTAGTAGTACTCTTGGTTGTGAACCGGCCGAGTGATGCTGTATCCGAACATGCCTTCGGTAAGACTCGGGAGCGAGTTGACGGGGTTGTCGCGCAAGAAGGCGGCGGTGCTCGACGTGTTCCTCTCCGAGCCATCGTGACTCTGGGGCGCGCGGAATTGGTAGAACTCATACTCGGCTACACAGTAACACATCAGCTTCATTGACGACGCGCAGCACCCGCTCTTCAACTGGCGTTGGACTCACCACCAGCCATAGCGCCATATCCATTCTCCTTCAGCTTGTCGACGGCGCGCTTCAACAGACTTCTTGGGCATGCGCTGAGGGTGCCCTTGGTGTCCGGGTCGTGGAAACTGATGAGGAAGAAGGGCACGTTGTCCTCCCACGGTATCCTCCGGAAGGAGGTCAGGTCGGGTATGGCGAGCAAGTCGCGGTAGCCGTTCTCCTTGTTGGAGATGGCCAGTTCCTTGAAGTATGTCTGGTCGTGCATGTCCCATCCGAAGATGACAGAGCAGAAACCGAAGCCCTCGTTGGCTATGCTGAGGAACTTTTTCTTGGCCATGAGCTTTCCGCGCAGGACGCCGTCGACATCGATGCCCGCGACCTTGACTGCGAGGTCATTTTTGAGGAGTTCGGGCAGTTGCTCGGCCGTCAGCTTGGAGGCATCGAATTCGGCGGCCATGGTGAGGATGGAGGGGGCGGACAGATGTAGCTGTTGAAGCTTTCAAGGTTACGAGTGAAAGGAATGTCGTTGGTAAGAGATATCGCGTCGCAATCAGGTTTGCGCGGATAGAGAGCTTAAGGGCCCAAGGCGTTTGGGATGCGATAGGCGGGACAGCTGGGGTGGGCCAATGAGGGGTTATCGGGATGCGGGCTGCGATGCATCCAACGACATCATAGCCTGGCCTTGCATGCGCGTACAGGCTATATCTTGCATAGTCACGCGTATGTGTGCTATCTCTCTCCTACGCGACACCTCGACACCCTCCCAATGCGACAACATGAATCCCTATGCGACAACGTGATGATGCGCCGGCATACAAGAGACGGGCGAACACGCACGTCATCCATCATGGCGGGGTAGTGGCCATACTTCATCAGCCCTGACGCGTGACGGCGTTTGGCGCATCCATGCCGTGTAGGACAGTTGTTAATTCGAGGCTGCTATCGTGCCTTCGCCCACCGCTCCTTCGTCGTGTGCCCAAAGATGACAGCCGCCAACGCGATAGCCCGCCCTTATCGTAGTCTATCAATGCAATGGGCCGATTTCGGGACCCTTGATGTTTGAATGACTTGTGAGCTGTCCGAGACTACCCGTCCGTCATCTCCATCTCCTCGCACTCTCCATTCCGACGACGCTCCTCATACGCCAGCCCGCACTGCAAAGTCCGATTCATAGGTGAGTGTGGAGACTGGTACTGTTTGCGCCTTTGGCAAACCTTCCCCATTCACAGGCCCGTGTGCTGTTCTCATGACGCTCCCTCTAGCAAAATATTAGTCATATCTCACAGCTTCCACAAAACTTTGCCTCACCCTTCATATCCATTAACCGCATTGCAGCACCTTCACTACACTTCTATCAGCACAATAACCAGACCAAACATTCAACATGGGTCGTCTTGAAGGCAAGAACTGCATCATCACTGGAGGCGCTGGGTAAGCACCGATCCCGCACGTACCACGACACATTTCCTACCAGCATTTCTTTTGCAGCCATCTACCCTTTTGACCATGTTTCGTTACTGGCTTCAACGCCGATGTGTTCATTTTTCAACGCGGGGAGCAGCACGCACAGAATCATACCGCATACCGCAACTTCCTACTGACGATCACTAGCGGTATCGGTCTCGAGACTGCCATTCTTTTTGCTCGGGAAGGCGCCAATGTCCTCCTCTCTGATATTTCAGGCCCAGCCCTGGAGAAGGCTTCGGCCAAGCTGAAAGAGATAGTCCCAGAGGCCAAGAAGGTCGAGACGAAGATTACCGATGTTTCCAAGGAGGCCGACGTACAGGCTATGGTTGAGCACGTGGACTCATGGGGTGGTCTGGATGTACTGTTCAACAACGCAGGCATTATGCACTCAGACGACGATGACGCTGTCAACACACCCGAGAAAATCTGGGACCTGACACAAGCCATCAACGTCAAGGGTGTCTGGTTCGGCTGCAAGCACGCAGTCAACAGCTTCAGAAAGAACGGCAAGAAGAAGACCAGTGTCATCAACACCGCCAGCGTTGTCGCATTAGTCGGTAGCGCAACACCTCAGCTCGCATACACCGCCAGCAAGGGTGCCGTACTGGCCATGACACGCGAGTTGGCTATGGTTCACGCACGTGAGGGCTTCAGGTTCAACGCGCTATGCCCAGCACCGTTGAAGTAGGTTCACTCCCAACCATTTGCTACTTGTGATATACTGACAGTAACAGCACACCACTCCTGCAAGATTGGCTTGGTGACGACCAGGCTAAGCGTCACCGTCGCGAAGTCCACTTCCCCACGGGTCGTTTCGGTGAGGCCATCGAGCAGGCGCAGGGTGTCCTCTTCCTTGCCAGCGATGAGAGCAGCTTCGTCAACGGCACCGATTTCGTCATCGATGGTGGCATGACCAGGTGTTACACCACGCCTGACGGACCACCTACTGAGGCGCCCAAGAACAACGCAAAGTAAGTGCGGGTTCAAGGGTTAAGTTGTTGGAGGATCAGAAGAGCACAAAGGCCCATGGACAGGAAACCGTGGCTATGAAGGATGTATGATATATGAGATCAAATCTTATGACGAGCAATACCATCAGTGAACATCTACCTTTGTTGCTGACCGTGGTCTACCTTAGCGCGAGTTGTCCATGATTGCGGATGTCACCACAACAGAAGAGCCTTAGACCTGATGAAGTCAAGAACGTGACTTACGCAGCTGTCACATAGGCTTATGGATGGCAGTTCACAGAAAAGCGCCCTGAGTGGCTACGGGACGTCTTCCACTGCAATCAACACTTCTTCCAAATTGCCTGACAGCGTAAGTAGGAAGCTCTACGCAATTCGCTCGGGAATGTCTGACCGAGCATGAGTATGGGAATTGGAAATGGGGTTGAGGAGTGATTCGTCCGGTGAAGTATGCCCTCGACGCCTGCAGTAGTTTCAGATGACCACGCGTCTTAGCGCATCCGTGTTGGGATGGCGTTTCAGGGTCCAGGCGGCCAGGATCGGACTTTCTTGGACCACGCGCCATCTGGTCAGACCGTCATCGGCAACATGGACCGCATTACCGCACGCGCTGACAACGACTTCAATGTCGCCTTGTATGGCGCACTCTGGATAGCCGCACTCTCTTTCATCTGGATTACTTGTCGTGCTGATCCCGAGGAGCCTGTCAAGTATGAAGTCGACACACCTGAGCAGGCTCGCAAAGGATGGAAGGGCCAGGTGCTTGAGAAGCCGCAGTTGAAGGTGCACATGTACTCCCCAGGTTTCGGTTTCGGTGACTGACTTCAGCAGGTACCGGGCTCTTCCCTGATCCAATGCTACGCTCCCGCGACTGGTGAAGCCCTCGGGCGCATCAACCCCTCCACAGCCGACGGCATCGACCGCGCAATCGCCAAAGCCAAGGCAGCCCAGGTACAATGGGCTCAGACAAGCTTCCTCAGGCGGCGAAAGGTGCTGCGCACTATGCTCAAGTTCATCCTGGAGAACCAAGAAGAAATTGCGCGGGTCGCATGTCTGGACTCAGGCAAGACTATGGTAGACGCGAGTCTGGGCGAGATTCTGGTGACGGTGGAGAAGCTGAGGTGGACGATCAAACACGGCGAAAAGAGTCTCAAGGCTGAGAAGAGGGACACCAACTTCCTCATGATGTACAAGTGGAATGAGGTTGTTTATGAGCCGCTGGGCGTCGTTGCGGCTTGCGTGAGCTGGAAGTAAGTATCAAACGTCACTCGATTAAATTATTGCGGCTAACAATACTACAGCTACCCCTTCCACAATCTCATAAGCCCCGTAATAGCCTCCATCTTCGCCGGTAATGCCATCATCGTCAAAGGCTCGGAAGCGACTGCCTGGTCCTCGTCATACTTCGCTTCAATTGCTACTCGCGCCCTTGAAGCATGCGGTCATTCGCCCGACATCGTTCAGTCTGTCGTCTGCTGGCCTGACGTCGCCGATCATCTTACTTCGCATCCGTCGATATCACACATAACCTTTATTGGATCGCGACCGGTAGCACACCATGTTTGCGCATCGGCGGCGAAGGCACTGACACCAGTGTGCGTAGAATTGGGCGGCAAAGACCCGGCGATAGTACTGGATGACCTGTCCAACAGCGACTTCAAGCGCGTTGCCAGTATCCTCATGAGGGGCACATTCCAGTCTGCAGGCCAGAACTGTATCGGCATCGAGCGCGTAATCGCCCTACCCAAAGTCTACGACCGCTTCATCGAGTACCTCACACCCAAGATACAGGCACTCCGTCCAGGCTCCATTCTCAACAACACCTCAGACACACCCATCGACATCGGCGCATCGATTTCCGACGCGAGTTACACGAAGCTCGAAGAGCTCATCCAAGATGCCGTCAATAACGGCGCCCGCCTACTAGCAGGTGGAAAACGCTACACCCATCCCGATCACCCCCAAGGTCACTACTTCACACCTACCTTCATCGCCGACGTAACACCAACCATGAAGATCGCACAAACCGAACTCTTCGCCCCCGTCTTCCTCCTCATGCGCGCCGAGTCTGTCACAGACGCCATCACAATCGCGAACAGCACCACCTACGCCCTCGGCTCCTCCGTCTTCGGCACCTCGACCCGCGACCTCGAACTCGTCGTCCGCTCCCTACAAGCCGGCATGGTCGCTGTCAATGACTTTGCGGTTTACTACATGGTTCAGATGCCGTTTGGCGGTACAAAGGGTAGTGGCTATGGGCGTTTTGCGGGTAAAGAGGGATTGAGGAGTCTGTGTAATCAGAAGAGTATTACGAGGGATCGGTGGGCTTGGGCGGGGATTAAGACGGCGATTCCGCCGCCTATGGATATTCCGTTGAGAGGGGAGGGCGCGGGGGAGAAGGCGTGGAAGATGGCGGAGGGGATTGTTTGGTTGGGGTATGGGGATCTGAGGGGGAAGGTTAGGGGGTTGAGGGGTGTGATTGGGTTGTAGATGTTGAACCTGTAAGATAGGCATGGGCGATGATAGAATATAGACCACATACCAGTATTGCGTTATCTACACAGTCAAGCGTATGCATTGCAGCATGGATTCCAAATCGGGAATGGCATCTACCGGTGATATGATATTGTGATCCATTTCATCGGACAGGTGCATCGTCATTTTAAAGAGGATACATCTGGCCTAACATCGTGAGTACAAGTCGACTAGGAACCTGGCCTTTACACTTCCTCTCCAGCTCCCCTCAGTTGACACCTTCATCGTGTCGCTTCCCCGATACTCTCTGATCAGGCCCTTGAGCAAACACCATGTACATCGCAGGCAAATCCTCTAGCATGTCCAGCTGCAGCGTCTCCAGCGAACTTGCCTGCAGCCACGAGTGCTGATGCGGAACCAGTCTGACACATGGTTTGCAACTGGCCCAAAGCGGTAAAGCAAAAAGGTGGCCTACAAGAGGGGTAATGACATTCTGCATGTCTATGTCGACAATCTGGAGGTTGCCATAGACTGGATCGTGTGTGACGTTGACCAAGTTGCTGTGCGCACCCTGGATGATAGGATAAAGCCATATGGGGAGATCGTCGGGCGCCATTTCTATGTGCAGAGCGCCCATAATGAACTCTCGCAGGTTGGGTGATCTCGCGACAAGTAATGCGAGCTGAACTTGAGCGGGATCTTTCTCAAGTATTTCCCATACATTCTCTGGCCAATCTTCTTGGGTCGCCAAAGCTGCCTTGAGCTCTTCTTCTGCCAGTCCGTCGTAAAATGACCTTCCATCCCACCTAGCATCGCTCAACACCTCTATTTGCCTGCAATCTGGATATTTACCATGATAACGCTCGGTCTGTGCTCGTTGTGCGAAAGGTCCGATCGGGTGCCGGAATTCCCATACGCATTTCTGACGGAGAATGTCCCCTGCGACTTGAGACAGACCGCGACAGGTGCGCGCTAAAGCGTAGAGTGTTAAGTAGGTGGTTGGAAGGTCGTATTCGCGAACATCATTATCCAGCTCAGCTTGCTGGCGCTGATCGTCGAACAAGTGATCGAAGATAAGAGTGAGGATTTCATTGGGAAGGGCGTGGAGCATAGAATGACTTGCAATGATCTCGGCGCACATGCTGTGGGTTTACGCCCATTGATGGTATGCGTATGGAATATGCGCGTGTAAAGGTTGGAGCGTCGTTTTCAGCAAAAAAATGGGAGATTCATGCGTGGATGAGACTCTCGGCGGATGCAGGCATGTTGCCGGGCAACGATGTTCAGTCGTTCAAACCGTGCCTCTCAAAAACGACAGGTACACTCGCTTGCACCGGGCACATATGACGTATGTTATCCTGTTCAATATGGCCCCATCGGCGCATAAGTCTTCATCTTCGGAAGGTGAAATTTGCTATGTTCTGATCATATTCAGACCACATAGCGACCAGTTCCAGAAAGAGATTCAATCACACGGCAAGTGGGCCTATTTGGCACCGTCTCAGTTCTGTCAGACGTCCAGTGTTGACTGTAATGCAGCCGCTCATGGCCATCGCATTTCCCTATTGCGTCTTTTTATCCGGTCCAGCTGTCCCTCTCAGCTTGTTCAGCTTGAACGTCCTGGTGAAGTAAAGATCAAGCGCCGCAGTCGGTAGGTACGTCCACGCGAACCACACGACCCAGCTCATCTTGCCCTCCCATATCCATCTCGTCTTGGAGAGTATGCCGTCTCCAGCTAGCACCTGCCTCACGCAACTGCTTGCGTATTGCTTGGTATCCATGCCCAACTCTTGACTGTGCTTCAACCTTCGCTCGTATTCGGCAGCAAGCGGTTGCATATAGGAGCCCGGTGGCAGAGTTCGGTGTGTTCGCGCAATATTCGATGTGACGCCGCCAGTCACGACGTTGATGACGCGTACGCCTAGCGGAGCGAGTTCGACGCGTAGGGTGTCGGAATAGGCGTGTAGTGCGGCCTTGGAGGCATTGTATGGTGCACCCCACACATAAGGCATGATGCCAGCTAACGACCCTGTCTGTACAATTGTACCCTTCGCTTCGACCACAAGAGGGGTAAAGGTCTTGCACATCTCCATGACGGAGAAGACGTTGACTTGGAAAAGTTCCTGCAGCTCATCCTCGTCGTAGTCCAGCGCTGGTACGACATAGTTGCGTCCGGCATTGTTGTATAGTATGTCGAGTTTTCCGCCCGTGATCTCGGTGACGCGCTGGTGGAGTGCGCGTATGGATTCCTTGTGGGGGAGTTCGAGGGGTAGATATGTGATGTTGGGGTGCGGCGAGGTGTATTTGGACGGATCGCGAACGGTACCCAGGACTTGGAAGCCTATATACGCCGATTAGCAACCAAGAATCGTGAAGACATGGTGTTATGCGGACCTCGTTCGGCGAATTCCAGTGCAAGATAGTGCCCAATGCCGCCGGGCGTACAGCTGCTCGCGTCAGTTGGAGCTGGAAGGAGCTAAGCCTACGACTGTGGCGACTTGTAGAAGTACTTACCCCGTGACTAAAGCGAATTGCGTTCTCTTTCCTTCGGCCATTGTGTGTTGACAGCTGCCAATGCGTTGATGGTAGCAGACGTCACAGCTCGCGATGCGCGCCTCGGTTGTCCCTGCCACTAGCGCGTCGACGTCACACACGCCCTGTCCGTATCTTGAACCCCCCAACTGACCTATCATGTCATCAGCTACCACAATGCCTGACTAGCATTTGTTCCCGAGCGTTCCATTGGGATATGGAGCCTAGCTGATGATGTTCCTTTTTGGATTCTGGATTCTGCTTCCTTTCCTCCACTTTTGCACTTGTATCTTCATCGATTAATTGCCGTTGCGACCGCGGATCCGCTTCCGAAGTACACTATATCGTAAATTTGAGATATACAGGACCTCGGGATTCAAAGATATCATGACAGCATCACAATGGCTGGGCGAGCACATTCCGACGCTTCTTCGTCCGTCCATATTGCTTTTCATAGCAGCATATCGTAAGTAGCATTGCAACTATCGTTCAGGGCACCTAAACTGACTTGTACATAGACTTCGTAATGACCATGTTTGAAGTCGTGTTCTATGACTGGCGCCCTTTTTCGCTCTTCAACATTACCAAACTCCGTTTCAAGGCCTTCGCCCGCCTCTGGAAGAACAACGGCGAAGCAATGTCTGCTGAAATGCCCGGCCCTACATTCTCGCTTTTGTCCCAGTGCAAAGGCGTAGTCCTCGACATCGGCCCTGGATCCGGAGAGATGCTTTCACGTTTCAACCCGGATATCATTTCTGCTGTGTACGGGGCTGAGCCTGCCGAAGACTTGCATCCAGGGTTGCTGAAGAACGCGGAGAAGAGAGGGTTTGGTAGCAAGTTCCATGCCATGGTTTGTGGTGCAGAGCCAGAGAGTCTAATTCCAGCATTGCACAAGAGCGGGATTCTGGATGTCAGTGGAAAAGGCGGGTTGGCATCTGATGGTGTGTTCGATGAGATCTGTTGCACTCGCGTGCTTTGTGGCGTTCCCCACCCAGAGCAGACTATCAAGGGACTCTACAACCTTCTCAAGCCTGGCGGCCGGATGGTGATCTGCGAGCACGTAGTGAATCCCTGGAGGACCGAAGGCAGAGTCGCTGCGCGCTTCATGCAACTGGTGTATACGATTCTTGGGTGGCCATTCTTCATGGGTGGGTGTGAGCTTCAGAGGCATACGCCAGACTTCTTGAAAGATGCAGGTGAATGGGATAAGTTTGATCTAAAGTACTACGGTCCCCAGGATTGTTTACCGTTTATCGTTGGAGAGCTGATCAAGAAGAACGCCTCATTGGACAAGAGTTACGCCGAGGCTGTCAAAGAGTAAACGGAGGATCAAGATGTAACGTGGTAGTTGTATCATGATTGTAGATAGAAGGCGGCCAGACTAAGTACAGAACGGGCCTGCGTGGAAGTTGCAATTATGGCTTCGCTTGGAGGCGATTAGATACTTAAGTTTGTACTGTTGTACATGTGAAATAAAGCAACGCTCAAAAAACGTCGGTGTTCATTTCTTCATGGTATTACCGTCTACACCCTGACTTATGACATGATCATGCTACCAGAGACTAACAACATCGAAGCAATAGCCCATCGAGGCCAATACATCTTTCCCGGGGCAGCATTCGCAGTCTGCTCTGGCGCAGTAGCAGCTGCCGTTGGAGAACCTGTTCCCTCCGCACTAGACAAAACAATTGTTGATACAGTAGCCGGCGGCTCTGCGGCTGACGATGGAGAAACGCCGCTCGATGGGACGACCGAGTTCACTGGCCTACCCGATGCTGCTGAGGTAGGGGTAGGGGTCGCAGCTGAAGAAGCCGAGTCCGCGTCTCCAGGCGCGTTCGCATCGTCCGTGGGTGTAGCGCTCGCAGCCGTATCTGACCCACCAGTAGCAGTAGACACCCTGACTGTCGTGCTACTCGCTGGTCTCGGTGTTGGCAGGCTACTAGGCAACGCTTCTGCACTACCACCTGCACAATCTGCCTGACCACCAAGCTTCACAACCATCCCTACTCCAGCCATCGCGTCCCCTAACCCATTATCATCTTGGAATTTTGTGATATCAAAGGCCTCGTCGTCTCCTGGCAATTGCAGATCCGTGATCTCTTTCCGTCCCGGGTTCGTGTACATCAGGAAACTGTACTGTCGGTCGTCTCCTTTCTCGCCGACGGAGCCAGGAGCAACGTAATCCAGAACAGCAGGTGAATCAGTTTCTATGTTGGTGATGTCGAAGTTGTTTTTGAAGTTCGCCCGAGCGTAGTGGAGTTTTCGAGCATTTGGACATGTGCTATCGACCATGATGATCGTGTACAGGGTGCCGGGGGAGATGCCACTGCTATCGCCAAGAGCGAATGTGGGCTCCTTTGCTACAGCTACACGATGTTAGATTTTATAGCCTAGCTTGAGCTAAAAGACTAACCATCTTTCTCGAACACGGTCCCATCCTTGAAGCCATTAATTGCTTCGCCTGTAAAAGAAACCTGTACTTCGTCTCCGCCTGAACGAAAGCCTGATCTTAAGTCTTCGGGTATGATGGTGTCGTCTTGCGCTGCGACAAATGCTGCGAAAGCAGCAATAAAAGTTGCATGTTTGAGGAAACGAATAGCCATACTGTGTAGATTTGAGAGAATGCTAGGTGGAAGTAATTAGGGTTGAGCGCGCTTAATCGATGGTGTTATACTCCCTCTCAAAGTACAATGCAGCCCCAGGATATATATCCCCTCCACCATGTTTGCATACTCTGTACTCCAACGGCGATGTTCACGCCGCGTAGTCCTCCCCACACAGTCCACTGCGCCCCAAACCCCGGAAGACCGTTGTGTCCGGCAGACGCCGGTGGAAATAGACCTTGGCATCTGAACACTGCTTGATCTCCAGACGATAAGCGCACGATCGCACCATTTTGGGTGGTTTGTTGGCGCCCGGCTGTGCTTGTCAGCTGTTTTGGTTTCATCTCGTTTCGGCAATCAGGCAGCCGGGCGCTTCTGACAAACGATCGGCTTTACTGAGATTCGCGCATCGGCGGTACACCCTTGGTTGCCTCTGGGTTGCGACAAGTAGGCGAGACGGTACTGTGCCTGAGATGTTGTTGCGAAACTCAGGTGTCACTGCCGAGCCCTTCGTTTCCTTGAACCGCGCGTTCCAACTTAGAGACTCCGCGAGAATTACTCTCAGACTGACAGATCTTCATACAATCGCAGCTTTCAGTATAAGAGGATTCAATTCTCATTCTTATTAGAGTAATAATTTGAAAGTGTGCTAGCATCAGCGAGAGGACTCGGCTGTACACGGCGCGACAACGAGACTTGGGTGTAGGTTACATTTGTCGCATCTGTGTGATACAAACCCTCTCAACTGCTTGATCAGAAGCCGGCTACAATTATGCAGTACTTCGAGAATCCAATGGAATGCTGTGTCTCGGTGTCTCATGCCTCTCGCACCGGAGGCAGGGTTGTTCCGGTGCCGCACCACGCCAAGACCCCGGCTTAGCGATTTTTGGCGCCCCACACCACTTTGAAGGTCATCGAATTCAACACCCAGACGCTTCCACACTCGTCAACTCATCACAACCGCCAAAATGACGAAGCGCACAAAGAAGGTCGGCATCACCGGAAAGTACGGTACCCGTTACGGTGCCTCGCTCCGTAAGCAGTAAGTATTCCCTCGCCGCAATCGCAGAGCCAGGGACAGCTATACTGACAATATCTAGGGTCAAGAAGATGGAGGTGCGCAATCCCACACGAGCCGTACAGCCTCAGTAGAACGAGTCACTCACCTGCGATAGATCACACAACACGCCCGCTACGTCTGCCAATTCTGCGGAAAGAACTCTGTCAAGCGTGAGGCCGTCGGTATCTGGAACTGCAGGTCTTGCCGCAAGACCACCGCTGGAGGAGCCTACACCGTCTCGTAAGACTCCCCGCACACCACCACGCTCGTGCGCCGTTGTGCAAAGACTCGCCGCAGATGTTATCGAGAAAGCGCTAACCCCTACCCACAGTACTCCCGCTGCCGCCGCCACCAGGTCAACGATCCGTCGTCTCCGAGAGATTGCTGAGGTTTAAGGGAACATTGAGCATTGGGTGGAGTTCTTCGAGGTTTTCTCTGCATCGGCAGCCATGGTCCGATGAAAGGCTCACTGCAGCATTCGGATGCTGGTCTCACAATGACCAGGGGTTCATCAGGGAATCATACAAAACAATGGCACGATCATGACAAAACAAACACCTCGTTCCTCGCGCTGCGTACAAACTGTGATGATCGCATCGATGATGTGGGGACGTCATCGGATTTGTCCTCTACGAATAGTTCTGTCTAATCACGCCGCGTTCCGTCGTCTTAGTGAAGTCGCTAACCTTGGTGGTTCGCCGCATTCCTGGGGTATGCAGCGATACCGTTGCAGTAAGCATGGACACTGCGCCGACTATACGGATCTACATTGGTGTCATCATACTGACAACTGCCACGGACGGTGATCGTCATCGACGAGGAACACGGTTCTGCACCCAGAGTATTGTAGTCACGATACCTTGTTTCGTCGCTCGCAGCACATTTCACCAATGAATGATATACACACCTCAGAGACCGATGTGAGCGACTTTATCTCGATGTATACAATGCCTTGTGAAAGCTTCAATTCTCGGGTTTTCACTGCAGTAGACCGCCAGCGCACTGGTTCAGTCTCCTCTATTGATAAGTGCTTGTGCTGAACAAGTCTTGGGCCGGGCTGGAATAGACGCAGCAGCGATAACAAGTCGTGGGTAATCTTCGGCTCGTGGACGTCTAGTCCGTGCAGATGCGAACCCGCCACTCTCCCACGTGCCACCTGGGATCCGAGAAGCAACGCTTCTACCGTCGCTTCGACTCACATGCATCTCGCATTCATCGGCTCAACGCTGCAATCGTCAGATGGCGCTATAGTCGCCAGTGCACATACTCGAGGACGAAAAGATCGTACACGAGATAGCTCGCGCTGTCATCAGAGAGGTCAGTATTGCCTCAAGGTGGAACAGGCATATATATGAAGTAAGCATGCATTATGCGACAGCCCCGTATATCTGACAGATTATGCAGGAGTGACTGAGCCAACCGAGCTTTGCTATCGTGTAAAATCGTGAGGCACACGGTGGAGGTCACCCAACGATCATCGATGTGACTGAAGTCATACGCGAAGAACGTCTGGATCAGACCACTTGAACGCCCGTTACACGCGTGCTCGGACATGCACGGCTGCCGAAGATAGGCTACAATCTAGGCCTCTCCGATACCTATGCAAATTTTGGCATAGGCTATCCACGCGCGACGTCATGCCGTGATCCTGCCGACCGGACCGCCCACTAAGTGGAGTCCCGCAGAGCCTCAACACCAAACTCTTCTCACAGTCCTGGAACGCTAGAGCACATAGTGTCCGTACACGTTAGAGATAGCAGATTTTTCTCGTCCGTCCACGCTTCGTAATGGCACTAAGTGAATCTATTGGGCATTTGTGCACCGATACTATGACGTCGAAGACGATGAACCTGGGATACCCCTTTGTAGTGGTCCTTCGTCCTCGAGCCAGCCTGTCGGGTGTTTACGGTCAGGCCATGGACGGGATGAATGTCATCCCACACACCGCCCCTAGTGGCGACGATGCCGTCCCTCGCCGGTATTGACAAGCAGGATATACATATCTGCTTTCCGTCTCCCAAATCCCATTCCTCTCTTTGATTACGGTCGTCACTCCGCGCCCATTCCTTTGTTTTCCAAGCAGGAACCTCCACTTTAATCGTCGATCGACATGTCTGGGTACTACGGTCCCTCCTTCAACCACAAGTCATCGCGACCTCCATCTCTTGCAGCGTCGAGAGCGAATTCTTCTTACAGAGTTGCTCGCAGTGCACCCGTCACACCTCGCAATGGTTCGATCACCACCCCTCGCAATGGTTCCATTGCCGCCACAATCGCCGGTACGACTGCACAACAAACAGCTGCCAACACAGCTGCCAACACTGGTGCAACGACACCCGCATTGCTCTCGAGAGTGAACAGCAAACTAGAGAATGAAGCCAACGGAAAAGAAGAGGCTCCTTCCATGAACTCCGAAGTATTGCGCAACGAGAAGGGCGAGCTCATTGTTGGAAGAATCGCAGGCGGCAAGCATCTTACCGATGATATCGAGGACATCGATCCTGGTTGTGGCGAGATCAAGAAGGTCGACTGCGACATGCCTCTTACATTGACCGAGATGGTCCACCATGAGGGCAAGGACTACATCGTACTCAGCTTCGCGACTGGTGACAAGGAGAACCCGTTCAACTGGAACCCCTGGTACAAGCGCAGTATCACCACGATGCTGAACTTGATGACACTGTTCATCGGTCTCGCAACAACGGCATACAGTTCGGGCATCAACAGGATGTGCGAGGAGTTCGGTGTCGACACAATCTACGGTCAGCTTGGACTGTTCACCTTCAACATCTCTTGTGCCATCGCACCCATGGTACTGGCTCCTTTCTGTGAGCTTGTCGGACGCAAGATCGTGTACGCCAGTGCCTTCCTCTGCTTCTCGCTCATCTTCATCGGTCTCGCACTCGCACAGAACATTTCCACCATCATCGGCCTCCGCCTACTACTCGGTCTCTTCGGTTGCGTCGGTACCATCCTCGTCGGCGGTACTTTCGACGACATGTACGAACCCCACAAGCGTGGCCGACCGATGGCCATGTTCGCTTTCGTCGCCATCTTCGGTACTGTCGCTGCACCCATCTACGCAGGCTTCATCGACCAAGCCCTCGGATGGCGATGGGTTGAGGGTATCCAGGGCCTCGCCAATATTCCCCTCCTGATTCTCATCTTCGTCGCCTTCCCCGAGACACGCGGCGGTGCCAGACTACACAAGCGAGCCAAGCAGCTGCAAAAGGCAACTGGCGATGAGCGATACGTCGCGGAAGACGACATCTACACCCCCGATGTGAAGTCCATGCTGAAGGCTTCGTCCGTCAAGGCTATCCGCATGCTTGTCACCGAACCCGTCGTCTTCGCCTTCGGTCTTTGGATCGCCTTCTGCTGGGCCGTCGTATTTCTGTTCCTTTCGGTCATCCCAATTACCTTCACCGAGAAGCGTGGTTGGTCCGAAGGTGTCAGCGGCCTGCCTTACATCTCTCTCGCCATTGGTACTTTCCTCGGCTGGGCTGCCCACCACCTCCAGATGCGCAAGTACAACCAACTCCAAGAAGACCCCAATGTTCGCATCGTTCCTGAGCACCGTCTCTATGGCGCCATGTTCGGCGCTGTCTGGCTGCCCATCGGTCTCTTCATCTATTCCTTCACGCAATACGGATACCTGAGCTGGGTTGGCCCCGTCATCGGTCTCGCGCCTATCGCATTCGGTATCTTCTTCGTCTTCGAGAGCACATATTCCTACACTGCCGATTGTTACGGTGAGACGTCTTCCTCGGCTATCGCTGGTCAGGGATTAATGAGGAACACGCTCGGTGCTGTTACCCCACTTTTCGCGAGCGCTTTCTTCCACAACGTAGGAAGTCAGTATGCGGGTTTGATCCTTGCGATGTTCGGAACTGTGCTGAGTTTGATCCCGTTCGTTATGTTCAAGTATGGACATCTGCTCCGCGCGAGGAGTAAGTTGGCGAAGGAGTACTAGTGGAGGAGAGAGTTGTTCAGTCGTTCATAGCGCATTAGCGTCGCATATTAATCAATTACATTATTGCAATGCCACGTAGGTGGCATCCTGCAGGTGTGATCTTCAGCCGTAAGCGAAACAACAGGCAACAGTGATGCCGCCTTCTACTCCACGGAAGATTCCACACAAACCTACAGTTCTGCAACATGCACACATCATGATCGCATTTTCCTGATCGTTTTTCTCTTAGCTACAGAAGCGGCTTCCTCTCAGAGAAGAGCGAGATTGTCGCAGATAGCGCTCGGTCCATACTCTACAAACGCTGGCAGGTCGCAACCCATGCTTTTCCGAGAACACATCATATTTTACCTTCAAAATACACCACAAAGACGAAGTCTTCCAGTTACGACAATGATGCTCGTCAATCCGAGTTCGTTTTGCAAGAACTGCCGAAAACTTGATATTGAGCGTCTGTTTGGCGTTGCCGACGCAAAGAATACTAGAATTCCTGATCACAACGGAAGATACTATGCTTACATAAAACCGGGAGGATGTGGGCTATGCGATTTCTTCATGGAACGTTTACCGGAACGATGCAAAGTACGCGGCGCGGATGGCACATGGTCCATCGATATGAACTCTGCATCTTCCCCTGACGCGAGAAATCCTGCACATTTATATGTCGAATGCTACTCGCCTAAGCAAGAAGAGGGAAGCTTAGGAGGTCTACGGATGACCGTCTTTTGTGACAAGCTCGAATCGGGGACCGAACGTGTTGAAGTCTCACCATTTGTGTGTGTGTCTATTGGAGAGTCACAAATTCACAAGCTTCAAGTACCGACCCCAAGCCTGGATCTAGCACCGATATCTCATTGGTTAGACAAAGAAAGATGCACGCAACAAGCTCGGTGGTACAGCAGAAAGGATGACGCGAGCTTAGCTCTCACCGTTATCGACTGTGCTACGCGCACGCTTGTGCCCTTGCCCAAAGAAGAGCTTTATGCAACCTTGAGCTACGTCTGGGGACGTGCTGTTCAGCCTACATTAGATGACACCAACGGTGACCCGTTGCCCCTGCATCTTCCAGATACGATCCAAGACAGCATCGATGTTTGCAACGCGCTGAGTATCCGTTATCTATGGGTTGACAGATATTGTATATCAACTGAAAGTAGCCATCTTCGAAGTCTGCAGATCAGTAGGATGGACGAAGTATACCAAAACTCGTTCCTCACGATTGTGGCATGTGCAGGGAACGATGCCAACTATGGTTTGCCGGGCATTTCGAGACGACGAAATCCGAATCCTTCTATCGAACTTGCTGGACTTGGCTGTATAGGAGCGCTATCACAGTCTATCGAGATTCATTCTAGCATCTGGGCGACACGTGCGTGGACGTATCAAGAAGCCCTCCTCTCGCAACGACAAATCTACTTCACGGATAAGGAGACATTCTTCGGGTCAGCTGAAGGCGTCCAAGGGGAGATAGGGGTAATTGCCAAAGCGAGTCTGGAGCAGTTTCTGCCCGAGTCTTTGCGTACTGGATATCCAGTTCCGGAAACTGTGCTGACTGCGCGGGACAAGAATCTCAGGAAATACTCACTCGGAAAACTGCATGAATGGGAGTGCATCTCCAACTACTCCACACGGACCCTGACGTATCAGGGCGATATTCTCAACGCTTTACTGGGTATCTTGGCATACTATCAGCGGGAACATCGTATCTCTCATCTGTGGGGCGTTCCGTTCTCTACCTCCTTCCCAGCGTCAGCGCCTTCCACCTTTTTCAGGTTCGATTTTAATCTGCGCTGGATCATTACTGGTCCCAGTTCTCGCCGGGAAGGATTCCCAAGCTGGTCCTGGACTGGTTGCAACGCTTGTGTACAACATTTTAACATGCACCGGGAGACTGTGTATCGTGTACCTATGACTAAAGAGGAGGCTATTCATATCGAGGTAGAACTTGCATCTGGTCGGCTCTTGAAGTGGTCCCATTATCAGGCCGACTATGCAAACCTGCAAGACTACACTCAAGTTCGATCATCGAATGAAAACGCTGATCGGCTGAGTCGGTTCATCCACCTCGATGCGTTGACATCTCGGATCGTTGGAAAGCAGCGGGACGACGCGGGTGTTCATTACTTCCGTATCGACGCATCAACGGTATTTCACGATGAGCATAAGTACTTCGGTGCAGTGGAAATCTCAAGCTACACAGAGTCTAATGTAGAAACCGAGGAGAGTATCCCCGTCGGCTCACTTCTGGCATTACATTTCCCCGAACTCGATGACTCGAGCGTGAGAGGAGGTGTCAAAATGGCGTCGTTCTATTCGTTCCCCGGTGATGGATGCGCATTGCTCATCCGAAATGTTGGAGACCATTGGGAGCGAGTCTGCCTGTTGGCGAGTTGTCACGACTTGAAACGAGAGGAGGTTCATAAAGTCCGCAGGAAGATCCGGTTGGGATAAGCACGTGACTAGGGGTAGCTACAATAGGGTTCGCATTTTCTAAAGAATGTATCAGGGCAGGAGTCTATATCACCTCATGGTCTGTGAATTTATTGAGTTACAGTAGCGTGTATACTGTAAGCTGTGGCCCGAATTTTACAGAGACGAATTTTTATTTTAGCTAAAATCGAGTAATTCTAAACTGCCATAGTGAAGATTGGGAATAGAGAGCATGTAGCTTTTTGGAAAGACTCGATGTAAGATGAAAAGAAATGTTCAACCCGGAGATAGTCAGGGAGGGCAAAAGAATAGAAACGAATGGCATCAGGTCAGATGTATTGCTTCTACCCATCATTAGTTGGAGATCTTAGTCAAAGTATAACGCATACATACGGCCTTCCATCCGGCCCAGAGATCCTGGTGGGCGTAGCGCTTGATGATCTCGCGAGCTTCCTTCAGGATACCGTAGTCTCCTACGCAATTGAGTTTTGCGGCCCGGCAGCGGGGTGGTAGGAGACCATCATAGTCGGTTCCGGTGTTATTCAAAAAGGCCCAGTATGCCAAGACACTGAAATCCATCGACGAATCGTTTTCAGGAAGTGGATAAAGTTTTGCAGCATCCAATGCTTTAGTTGCCAAGCCAAATTGGGTCAATGGACAAAGTTTTGATCCACATTTACCGACGTCCTTGGTGAAAGTATTATGCAAGGCGGTTTTGCACGTCTGCAGGAGCTCTTGAAGTACGGCAGTACGAATTTGACCAGCTTGAGCTATATCCAGGGTTAGCATCTATGAGATGGCAAAAGTAGGGTATCGTGCAAAGGAGAAAACTGAACAGGCCTGTAGCCTACATCAAGATGAAAACATGCAAAGTAGATGATCCAACGTCAACGTAGGCTCCAGGGTGTTCAATGTTTTTCGTGACTGATCTCGGCCTGTGTGCTCACCTTGGATACGGGCCGGGAAGTCAGCTCGGACATGCACCAACTTATCATCGTGTATCACGCAGTAACGCTTGTCTTTGTCGACGCAGATCTCCATGGCCAGCTTATTGACCAGGTATTCGTAGTCAGCCATGAGCCCGAACGCGGCCGTAATCATCGTAAAGTCTTGAAGATCGATGTCGGAAGGCCAAGACACGCCGCCGTCTTTGTGTTGTTGGATCCAGTTCTTCAACTCGGCTGCAGCATGTAGGAGACGCTCGAGGTCGTACTTGTCGGACAAGACTGCAATCTGTACCAGCTCCTGCTGCGACAGCGTTTCAGGTAGCTCTTGAAGTTGCCAGTGAGCAATTCGGAGGACGATGTGGAAGGCGTAGGCTGAATCCTCAGGAAAGGCGATTTCGGACATGTCGCTCTCAGCCCAATTGCCGCTCATCATGGCGTCCCAGGCTTTGCTAGCATGTCGAAAGACGCCTTTGTTGACTTGATAGGCCTTTTGACCATCAGCATGCTCCGGTGACCCTACTATAAGAGTAAGGTCGTACTGGCTGTCGATCGTGATAACTTCGAGGTTAAGATCGGTAATTTTTCTCTTGTTCTGGAGGTCAACTGCCTCATCATGAAACTCAAGTGACTCTCCATTGCAATACCCACTACCGAAGATGGAGTCGTCGTTCGTAGCTGCAAGGGTGGATTGAACATCTGATGTATCCTGTAGGCTATCGCCAGGGCTGCCAGCACTTGATGGTGTGGTCATGATGTAGATGGCCTGGATACTCGTGATGGTTTTTGAGGGATGCTTCGTCGACGCTGTATACTCGAAAGTATAGGGTAGAGTTGATGGTAGAGTCCTGGAACAGATCACGTAGGCGGTAGGTATGTATATTACCGGTCGGACGATCAGCTAGCAGTGGCCGAAGCTGTCAGACAGGTGAGAGAAGCTTGAACGATACCATCTTCCCCGGAGTCGTCTGTTCGCCACCGGATCTGAGGTAATAACTTCATGTATAGTGGAAGTACCTTTACCGACTCCTTCGGGGATTGCAAGGCCACGTATGCCTATTGACCTGGTATTGCGGTACATTTCAAGACCTAGAAGCTTGAGTCGTCACCCACGTATCCCATGCCCTTCCTCCACCAATTCCAAACACCCATCTTCTGCATACTAACTCCGAAGTCTTTCACGCTCTCCACTTCTTCTAATTTCCCATATGCGGCATTTTCTCCCGCCTCTTTCCCTTCGACCTCCTTTCCGGCAGGCTTCCTGACAAGCTGGAAATCCTTGTAACGCAGTCTCTGAACACTTGCTACCCATTCTTGTACACCTACTTCGGAGCCTTGGCAATACATGATGCCTGGACAGCCACCATAGCGTAGTAGAGCGTAGACGTGACAGTTGGATGCAGCAGCTTTCAACTTGGCCACTTTCTTGCGGGAAGTTATGTGATGGGTCCGTATCAGCGCGTTATAGATCGGATGAGACATGCCATCGATAGGGGTAGACCCAAAGCAGAAAATGGACGTTGTGTTCGCAATGTCATGGTTTGCGAAAGATGCACGGGGATGAACGCGGCCGCACGTGACGTCACTAGCGCAAAATGATTTTCCAAGATCGCCGAACGCCAATGACGTGCGGGCGAGACACGAGCGATATTCTCGAACGACTTCAACAACGACCGTATGGATCGCTGCCGTATACGGAACTCTACGTATGGAAAGTTATGAAGCCTACTTTGCTTCATAGAGTCGCCGCCCCATCACCGTCGGTTCTGAGCTTCCTGAGGGCCCAAGTCACCAATGCGTTCGACCGACCGCTGGCGCAATGCGCACAAGTAACCCAGCAACGACGTGGATATGGGACGAATTCTGGGACGAGATGGGCTCCTGGAGATGCGACATGCAGGATAAAGACATCAAGTTGCAAGAGGAGAGAGGGCAGTAAGACGTTCGCAACTTCGCAATGTCTACCGGCCAGGAAGGTTTCGCAACCAGTCCTCGAGACTTCGCTTGCTGTTCCACAGGCTACGGCTCTTTCAGTTCGAGACGTAGACCCTCAGGGACACCGCAGTTTCTCTACGACACCTTCGAACAACGGGTGGAACATCTTCAATTCAGCAAAGATGCGAAAACTGGCACAATTGCAAGCACCGCAGCCGCCACCAGATGAACCGTCGTCAGGCTCAACAGGGTTTGGAAGCAGCCTGGGACGTATAATGCGACCTACGAACGAGCTCAAGATGAGGTGCACAGAACTTGACGAGCACGGCAACGTTACACTTGTCAGTGGAGAGTTCAAGAAGAGCGAGCTGATCGCTAAGGTACGCATGGCAACGAGTCCATCCAGACCATACAACTGATACTTGAGAATAGTACGGTCTGCTTCCTCGCGATCTCCGCAAAATCGATTCCTCGCTCCTCCCACATATTCTCGTCCGGCCGTCTGCGATCCTGATAAACCTCCTCAACCTTCGTGTCCTCCTCAAGCACAACCGCGTACTTGTCTTTGATGCATACGGTACCACCGACTCGAAATCGCAGTCTGTCTTCATGTACGATCTTGATCTCAAACTCCGCCAGAAAGAATCCACCGTCAACGGCACCCTCGCGTACGAATTTCGAGCACTTGAAGCTGTCCTCATAAGCGTAACACTGAGTCTGGAGAAGGAGTTCGAAGGTGTCAGTGAGCCAGTGGTGAGAGTTCTCAGGGAGCTCGAGGAAGACATCGATAGGGACAAGCTACGGTACCTGCTCATCTACAGTAAGAAGCTGGGTAGTTTCGAACAAAAGGCACGACTAGTCAGGAATGCGCTCGAAGAATTGCTGGAAGCGGACGATGATCTCAGCGCCATGTACTTGACTGAGAAGGCTGAGGGCAAAACGCGCGAAGACGACGATCACACGGAGGTCGAGATGCTCCTGGAATCTTACCACAAGGTCGCCGACGAAATCGTACAAGCAGCAGAGAACTTGGTGTCGAGCATCAGGAACACCGAGGAGATGTATGTGTTCTATTGTTCTTGTACAGCCTCCTGTCACTAACCATCCACAGCGTCAAAGCCATTCTCGATGCCAACCGCAACTCCCTCATGCTTCTCGACCTCAAATTCTCGATCCTTACCCTCGCAATCACCGCCGGTACCTTCGTCGCCGCTCTATACGGTATGAACTTGAAGAACTTCATTGAAGAATCCGATCTTGGTTTCTTCGGTATAAGCGCCTGGTGTTCAGTCTTCGGCTTCTTTGTCGCTGTATACGGTTTGTCGAGGCTTCGAAAGGTACAACGGGTCAGCATGTATGGCCACGGACCTGGTGCGCTCGTTAGCAGGGAGCCAACCAGGCCGACTGTAGCTCCAGGCGGAGGATGGGGCCTTGGTGCGTGGGGTGGTGGCAGTAGAAACGGGGTCAGCCGAGGAGACATGGGTAGCACGATGCCCACCGGAGCACCGGATCTGGGTGGAATAACGAAGAGAGGTGACACACTAGCCAGTGTCATGGAAAGAGAAAGAGCATTGGCGAGGAAGTTGGCCAAGGTCGAGCAGAGGGCTGACGATGCTACAAGACGTTGAGGTTGGCTTCATGTGCTTGTGTGGAAGGTTCTTGCATTTCTTCGATCTGGTTTTGATCTCTGCTCTGATATCCCACCTCTTTCTTAGACACTTTTTGTATGAGTAACGCACAGGGTTGGCTGCATAGCGATGGCGTTTGGGACTGATGATAAGACGGGCACTCTTAGACGGGGTACTCATTTGCATCATCAATGTATAGTAGTGTATACGTCCATAACCCGCTCAGACCTATCCGATCTTCCAAACAATCATAGTTGGTTTGCATCAATCCCTCGCGCTTTTCTTTCGTGAAGCCTAGTCTTTGCCACTATGCGCCGATAGTCCTGTCCATGTCCTTGTCTCCACCGTATCCCTGCTCTCTCCTCTGCTTCGCCGCATTCTCATCATCGTCTTTCAACGCTTCAGTACCACCGAATCCGCCTGCTCATGATTAGCCTGCCATGCACAACTACAACATCTATTTGCCGTTGACGTACCTTCCGCGTTCGCTTGGCCCGTTGAACTTGTTGTCTTGCCACCCATACCGCCTTCTTGGATACTTTGTCCGTATCGGATCTTGTCTGCGGGGGTAATGCCTTGGGTGTTGGGCGCGCCGGGGTCGGAGGTCTTCTTGTTGACTGAGGTGCCTGTTGAGGGATCTGCGGAAGCCATTGGTTAGCACTTGCACCTTGACAGGGAGAGAGAGGAAGTCATACCGCCTAGTTGACCGGCTTCCTTCGCGTGAGGCTCAACAAATGTGTGAACGCCTTCGTACTGGTTCTGGCGCTCGCCGCCGGGCTCGGTGTCCATGAGCTTGTCTGACATGTTTGCACGTACGGAGATTGTTTATTGTGGGTGTGAGAAGGTATGTGCGAGGAGAACGTGTAGAAGTAATTGGATTGTGTGAGATGGTAGTGGTATTGAAGCTCAGAAACTCGAGGTATGGGGAAAGCTCCATGCTATGACGTAACCACCAAACGCCGAACGCGAGACGCGCTTTGCAGCGCCAGAACACCCTGGTATGATGACACATTAACTACCTTTCCTCCACGGCTCAACGGTATGCGTGTAAATGTGCGGCTATGACGAATCGAAATCGATGCCCATGGCGTAGCTGCGACAGTTGTTAGTATAGGCATGACTTTCTGGAAGTCCATTACACACCTTTCGTACAATCTCATGTACTTTGCGACGAAAGCCTCCAGATGGAAGATCTGTTTGGCGCCCATCTTGCACCTGTGCTCGTAAAACGCCGCCCACTTGATAACCTCTGGCTTCAGCGCATCTTCGGTCATTGGTATGAGTTTCCAGGTGAGTGTTTTTATGATGGTTGTAGAGTCGATGCAATGCGATAGCAGATCGTAGAGTGACGCGCGGACTTGCAGGAGGCGTTGAGGAGATCGCTCTTCGACGATTTGGCGGGCGATTTGCTGGATGAGTGCCTCCCAGTCAGGCGGTGGGATGTGCGTCTGGTCGGTGATTTTCTCGCTGTTGATATATTAGCTGAGGTTGAGGGTCTAAAAAGAGACGAAGCCATACTTCTGAGCGTGCACTGCTTCGAACATCAACAGCGCTTTCCTCAGGTTTCGCCCGCTGTCCTTCGCTATCCTCTGGTTCAGACTCTCGACATCCTTCCATCCTTCCTTCTTGCCCACTTTGCTCAACACGCTGCAGATCTCGGTCTCTGTAGGCGCTGAAACCCTCACAAGAAGCGTTCGACTCCTGATGGGCGCGATGATGTTGCTCGTGGAGTTGGCGAGCAAGATCAATCGCAAGTTGGGACTGTACTTCTCCATGGTACGTCTCAGCGCCGCCTGCGCATCTCTTGTCAGATGATCTGCCTCATTGATCACTACGACCTTGAAGCGCTGCTTTGCGCCCAAGTCGACCTGTTGTGTCTGTGCAACTTCCTTGAGCAGGTCTTGGACGACCACTCTGTCGTAGTTTCCGACATCTGAAGGTGTGATTTCGAGGTGGTATACGGAAGCGACGATGTTGAATTCGAGTTTGCGGTTCGTGGTAGTCTGGAAGACGCGCGCGTCGATCTTGATCTTTTCGACACCGGGGCCGTAAAGCTCTTTGAGTGTGGCGACTATGCGCGTCTTCTTTCCTGCGCCGGAAGGACCGTATACGAGCAGATGTGGGAAGTCGCCGCTTTGTGCCTACACATTGTTGCGTTAGTTGCCGCAATCGATGGAGGATGTCAATGTTT